TACTTAACCTATTTTTTATAACAAGTTTCATTAAATCTGAATATGCTTCATTGGGAAAATTTTCAAAGGACTCTGCAGGTATAATAGATTCTTCATAATTATTAGAATCTTCCGATATAAAATTATTTTGAAATTCCTGATTATTTGAAGATTTATTACAATCATTAACAATATCTAAAGTAATCTGATAAAATTGAAAAATTAAAATATATTCAAAAATAAATATCAATAAAAATTATAAACCTTTTCATCATCTTCGAAGACCTTCAAAGTATTTAAAGAAATTCCACGAGTTAATTGATGTGACTCATTTGAGCTTTCATTAAATTCATCACTAGATTCGACCATCAATATATACTTGTTAACATGCCTAGAATAATTTGAACATCTAGAGAAGGTACATTAACAGAATACACATTTGAAGGCCATTTTGTGATGCTATAAAACACTAAATATTTTTAGCCAATAAAAAAATTTTTTTTTTTTTAACCAATAGAAATTTAATCTAACATGTAAATTATAACACGATTTTATTTAATTCCGAAAGCTTATAATCTCATTTATGACACGTTGAACTTGTAATAATTAATGACATAATGGAAGAATACAAAAGTGTAATTATAATATATTTTTTTTGAAAATCTTTATTATAAAAAACTTCTAAATATTCTAAACTTTTTCTTTAAAATGTTTGATCAAAAACAAGCAAGACGTAACATGTTTAATTTCTTAATCCTAGGTGCTAAAAGAAAAGAGAAGAGCAAGGGAGAAAATGAGGAAGCTCCAGAGGGTTTCGAAAAGAAAAAAAGATGTATGATTACACCACCTCCTGATTCTGAAAATTTTGAAACATTCTTTGATAGATCAAGGAAGTCCAGTAATACTTCGCTGAGAGTTTCGGATGTCTCTGTTCTTGTTCACCAGCCATTAGCTTGAGAAGAATCCGAAAGAGCTTTAGATATTATAAAATTGCTTTAATATATACTTTTTTATTAATACTAATTATAATTATAGTATCAATAAAGATTTTTGAAAGGATTGTAGAGCAAAATTCTTTGCTTTTCAAAAAAGTGGATTCAGTAATTGAGCACCAAAAATCGCTGAAGAATAAAATTACTTGTCTAGAAAATGAGTTGTATTCGCATCAAAATGTTGTAACTGAAAAGGATTTTATTGAGGTATATAAGATTGCGAAGATTTTCGAAATTATTATATTATTATT